ACTGGGCTGGAATTCACAGTCCCTCCTTCAGCAAATCTTTGTTGAGATCCACCTGTGTGCCGGGCACTGGGGAGACAGCCAGGGTGTCTGGGGAGATGGACCTTAGCGGGAGCCACACCGTCGACTGTGTAATTACAAACTGAGGTACAGGTGCTGCAAAGGAGAGACCAGAGCCCTATGGGAACACAGAAGGGTCAGAGTGGTTGGGGAGTTGGGGGTGGTCAGGGAAGGCATGAGATGAGAGCTAACGAATGTGTGGGCACGTGCCAGGCAAAGACCAGGGCAAGGGCTTCCGACAGCTGGACCAGCAGGGGTGGACTTGAACAAATGGCCAGTGTTGAGAGCAGAGGGGAGATGGGATGGGGAAAGAGGCAGGCTGATGAGGGGTGAGAAAGAGCCCTTGAAGAACTTTGAGCAGGAGTAGAGTGATTGGATACCATTTGCAAAGTGGCCTGCTGGGTGCTGGTGGGAGCAGGAGAGATGGGTGGGCATGCAGGTATGGAGAATATGGGGTGTAGTGGGCACAAAAGTGGGATTTGAGAGATTTTTAGGGTTGGGGAGGCAGAGGGAAGGGTCCTAATGGGTAGGCAGGTGAGCAAGGGGGCAGGCAGCTATCCTGTCCTTCCAGGTGCACGTTCATCGGGAACCAGGACACGTATGAGACGCACCTGGAGACCTGCCGTTTTGAGGGCCTGAAGGAGTTCCTGCAGCAGACAGATGACCGCTTCCATGAGATGCACGTGGCACTGGCCCAGAAGGACCAGGAGATCGCCTTCCTGCGCTCCATGTTAGGCAAGCTCTCAGAGAAGATTGACCAGCTGGAGAAGAGCCTGGAGCTCAAGTTTGGTGAGAGCCTGGCCTAGAAGTGGTGGGGGGCAGAGCTCCTCCTCCTGGTTCCTGACACCCTCTGCCCTGCCACTCAGATGTCCTGGATGAAAATCAGAGCAAGTTGAGCGAGGACCTCATGGAGTTCCGGAGGGATGCATCCATGTTGAACGTGAGCGGGAGAGAGACAGATACAAGGAGGTTGGGTGGGGTGGGGGACACAGGACTGTCCCTGTGGTTGGGCCCCAGCCAGCAGGAGGCTTGCCCTGCTCAGGATTAGGTGTTTGTACTGTGGAAGACTGCTGCTGCCCCAGCCCTGCCCCAGCCAAGCTCAGGCTGGCAGGCAGGGGCACTGTGGAGCCACAGCCATCATGCTCTCTACTCTTGGCCTTGCAGGATGAGTTGTCCCACATCAATGCACGGCTGAACATGGGCATTCTAGGATGTGAGTATGGGCCCACTGCTGCTCCCACCACTGTCCCCAAGGCCTCCCCATGTTCCTCACCAACTGCTCCTGTCTTTGCAGCCTATGACCCGCAGCAGATCTTCAAGTGCAAAGGAACCTTTGTGGGCCACCAGGGCCCTGTCTGGTGTCTCTGTGTCTACTCCATGGGGGACCTGCTTTTTAGCGGCTCCTCTGACAAGACCATCAAGGTGGGTGGGATCCCGCCTAGGTGGGCTCTGCAGCCTGGCAGGGTGAAGAGTGGGTACTGCCCATGGGTGGGTCTTCCTTTCATAGGCGGGGCTTTCTTCCTAAGGATGGCTTCCTCATTCCCACCATGCCACCCCTGGCATCTGACTGATCTTGCTGGGACCCACCTTGACCCTGGTCTCTGCAGGTGTGGGACACATGTACTACCTACAAGTGCCAGAAGACGCTGGAGGGCCATGATGGCATTGTGCTGGCGCTCTGCATCCAGGGGTGAGTGCAAGCATGTATGTATCCACTGACCACAGGGTCCCACACGGAGCTGGGGACATGAGATCCCATGCTGCTGCCCCATGGATTGTGAGCTCAAGCCTGTATAGCCACATGTCCACATGTGACTGTGTCTACCCCTCCTGTGGGCACTCGTGACCTTGAGCAGGACTCCGTCTCAGGTGGTAGCATGTGGACCCTCCACCTCTGACACTGTACATTCACAAAGCATAGCCTTGGCCCTGGAGTGCCTCAGGAAGCCAGAGGGCAGAGGTGGGACATCATAGAGTGGAGGCAGAAGCTCGGCTATCTCTGGTCTGGGCACAGCTCAGGGACAGGACCATAAGCAGCTGGCTCAGCCACCTCCTTGCCCCCCAGGGTGGCCCCTTCTAGACCTTCCTCCCTATCTTGTATCAGGAGGTTGTGTATCGTGGGCATGAGTGAGTGAGAGAGAGGGATTCTCGATCATAGGAAGTAACAGCTTGACTGCCAGCAGCAATAACTGGGTAATTACCTCTCAGCTCATCTGTCAGACACTTGCCAGGCAGGCACCGGGGTTTGGGCCTCCACTTCCAACATCCCCTCACTGAGTCCGGCATACTGAGACTGGGCTCAAGGAAGCAGCAGTGGCCTTGGCATTGCCCCAGGCTGTTGATTCCTGGTGGCCAAATCTACCTCAGACTGCAGGACAATGTCAGTGAGGACAGTGCCTTCTGCTCTAACACCTTAGCTTTGCTTCCCCAGGTGCAAGCTCTACAGTGGCTCAGCAGACTGCACCATCATTGTGAGTGGGGCCTGTGGGAGGGGCCAGGCCACACCATGCCACTGGGGCTGGGCTCAGGGCAGCAGGGCTGGTGTCTGAGGCTTCCTGTCCCCCCACCCACCAGGTGTGGGATATCCCGAACCTGCAGAAGGTGAACACAATCCGGGCCCATGACAACCCGGTGTGCACACTGGTCTCCTCGCACAACATGCTCTTCAGTGGCTCCCTGAAGGCCATCAAGGTCAGGCAAGGCAGTATGCATGCATGTGCCAGACATCGGGGTGCCAGATGCCTGACCACCCAGCCCATGCTTACAGCCATTCCCACAGGTCTGGGACATTGTGGGCACTGAGCTGAAGTTGAAGAAGGAGCTAACAGGCCTCAACCACTGGGTACGGGCCTTGGTGGCTGCCCAGAGCTACCTGTACAGTGGCTCCTACCAGACAATCAAGGTACTCCTGGTGGCAGAGCCCCTCCCTGTACCAATACTGCCTTGCCCCCTCACCACCAGGGCAGGGAGACCCTCACACATCCTGGGTGGTGGGTGGGCTGCCCACGGTGCCTGAAGCCCCAGAGGCCCTGGTGGTGAGGCACCTGGCCTGGGACCAAGTGGCCTGCACTTGCCTATAGATCTGGGACATCCGGACCCTCGACTGCATCCATGTCCTGCAGACATCTGGTGGCAGTGTGTACTCTATCGCCGTGACGAATCACCACATTGTCTGTGGCACCTATGAGAACCTCATCCACGTAAGGGTGGATACCTAGGGGCAAGGCCTGACTCTGGGCCCCTGTTCTCCTGTCTGTGTCTGTGACTTGCCTGTGCCATCACTTCAGGTGTGGGACATCGAGTCCAAGGAGCAGGTGCGGACACTGACAGGCCACGTGGGCACCGTGTATGCCCTGGCGGTCATCTCGACGCCAGACCAGACCAAAGTCTTCAGCGCGTCCTATGATCGGTCTCTCAGGGTCTGTGCTGGCCTGGTAACAGTGGGAGGCTTAGGGCAGGTGGCCATGCCTGGGTGGTCCTCATGTCTCATGTGCCCCCAGGTCTGGAGTATGGATAACATGATTTGCACACAGACCCTGCTGCGTCACCAGGGCAGTGTAACTGCACTGGCTGTGTCCCGAGGCCGTCTCTTCTCAGGGGCTGTGGACAGCACTGTGAAGGTTAGTGCCTTGGCTGGGGCCATCCAAAGGGGCTGGCTGCAGGGTGTTGGGGGTGAGGAGCCAGCAACCCTGGGCAGGTGACAGTGAAAGGCAGGTATGAAAGCAGGTGGTGTTGGGGCAGGATGGCCAAAGGGGCACCTGAAACAAGAGCCCTTCCTCTACAGGTTTGGACTTGCTGACAGAATCCAGGCCAGGTCTTGGCTTCTTCTGGGTCCACCCTAGGCCTGTCCAGACCAGGCTGGCCACATGGGTGGTCTCAGGGTCTCTGCCTTCCCATTTGGGGATAGGTGGGCAGGCTCACCTGGCCAGGCAGTACCCTCCCGATCCTGCACCTGGCAAGCCTCCCTTTGTCTGGCTCTGTCATCATTGCTGCCAGGTATAATACTCACCGGTCCACCCTCCATCCCCATTTCTGATGGACTATGGGGCCTTTTTACTCACCTTTTCTATTGTTTTTAGACTGTACATAGATTTGATTACTTCTGATTGAAATAAAAGCTGCACAGACTGTGGCTATGATTGGGGATGGTCCTGGGATGAGGGAGAGGCTGCCCGAAAATACCGATGTGTCCAGGCACCACCAGCCAGTGGGAGGGAAGCTGGGAAGGGGCCTCGAAAAGGGCTCCTATTGTCTGTTGACCCCAGGATGTAGCCCTCTCAGTGACTTCCCCTCCCTGCCAGGAACAGGCTAGCCCCATCCCCTACCCCACCACCACCATTCTAACACACCACCAAAAAGTGAGCCAGGCCATTTTCTGCTGTTTATTGACAGCTGACAGTACCTCCCTGCCCAGACCCCCCTCCCCACCTGCTGGAACCCCAGCCTGGGCTACCCACTAAGGAGAGGCCAGGTGGACGACCAGGTGTATCCATTAGGGGAAGCATCACCATGTGACAACTGGAAGGGGCCCTCACATGCCCAAACTCCACCTTGGCTGACCCCCTCCACCCGCCTGCATCAAAATCGCTGGTTTTTGGCATTTTTAATTGTTTTTTTAAAAGAAATGTCAAAGTTATGTCCAACACATGTGGATCAGCAAACACAATAGAGGAGGCCGGTCAGTACTTTTTGGAGGGATTGGGGGTGAGGAGAGAAAGAGAGAGGGCGAGAACAACCACACGACACAGCCTTGGACCATGAGCAGAAGCATCCGTGGGAATTCAGATGGGGGTGGGCTGGCTGCCTACTTGGGGCCTGGGGAGGGAGAGTCAGGCACACTTTCACACGCGCCACACGCAGCCTGGCATGCACTCCCTGCACCGACTGCTGTCATCTGGCTGACCCACCACTTCATGCTGTGCACACAGCTCCCCGGAAACCCAGGCAGACCTTTACAGCAGCACCCCCCAGAAAGGAGGGAGCCCTCCCCACCGTCTCCACGGCGTGGAGGACACAGCCCAGCAGCAAGGCACATCCTTCGAGTTCTTCAGACACAGAGAAGTTAGGAGAGAGAGCAGAGGGAGGCCCTGGTGGAGCAGAGACCCTTCCCTAGACCCCAGCCTACTGTTTGTGCTACTGGACCAGGGGTCTGGCCACTCCTGGATAAAGGGAAGGAAGGACTGACAGTGGCCGGGGCCTCTAACAGCTTTTGTCTCGAGCTAGACTCCAGTGTCCTTGCAGTTGGTAAATGGTTTTCTATAGAATCAATAATATTTTTTCTTTCTTTAAATATATATTCGTTAAAGTTATACCTTTTTGTTTCTGTAGGGAAATCTGCCTCAGCTCATTCCCAATAAATTAATACTCTCAATAGCTTATATTCTGTGGGGTAGAGTGGGGCAGGGGTCCTGACCCCAACCCCTTGTGCTGTGCCAGAGCAGCTGGCAGAGGTCCCCAATGGGCAGTTCTGTGCTGGGCATAGGCCTGTGCTCTGCCACTGATTGGGGAGGGGGCTAGCATGGCTGCCCCCCCTCCCACTACCTCCCAGGGTGGGCCCAGCATGGACTCAGGGCAGGGGTGCCAGGGGCTGCCCCTCCTCTACACAGTGGGCAGAGCCTGGTGGTGAGTGGGCAGGTGGCCCAGCAGTTATTGCACAGGGAGCAGCAGACAGGGACGGGCACCCACAGGGCAGCAGCATCTGTCCAGAGCCCTTGGGTCCCTAGGGCAGGCAGTCTTCCAAGCTGGGCATCCTGCCTGGGCCCAGGGGGCAGGAGTTGTGCTTGTGCAGGGACTGGGCAGCACGATCCACCCCCGCCTCGTGGCCCTGGCAGGCTGTCCCCTGCACCCTGCCCATTTGCGCCGTGCCCAGAGATGCCCATCCTGAGGTAAAGGTCAGTGTGCAGCCGGAGCCCAGGTAGAATGAGTGGGCCCAACGTGGGCTGCATCACTCCAGCATGGCGTCCAGTTGGTCTGCAAGGTCATCAAACATGCTGCCGATGTCGTCCAGGATGCTGCCCGTGCTCTTCTCTGTGGCGGAGGGGCTGGGGGTGGGCGCAGCGTGAGTAGAGTAGGGCAGGGTGGGGCCAGGGGAAAAGGCCTCGCCCTCCATTCACGCCAGCAGTGCGTGGGCGGGGCCACCTGAAGGCCACACCCCCGGCCCTTCCCCTGCCACGCCCTTGATTTCAGCCAGAGCACGGCAGCCTCAGAAGATAGACGACTTGGGGAGGAGTGCAAGCCCCACCCACGCCGGGCCCCGCCCCACTGTGTAAGGTGTGGGTCTGTCCGAGACCGCGGCCTCAAGGCACCGGTTACGCCCCTCCCTGCCCCACTCAGCCCTAGCTCATACCCTACATGTTCAGTTGTGCGCTAACCGGAGAGGCACCCCGACCCTTCCACACCACACCAGACCCCACCCCGCACCTACCGCAGGCCCTGGGCGTCCTCCTGCCGGATCTTTTCTTCTACGGCTTGCAGCGCGGCCGCCAGGCATGCGCTGGTCTCCTCCAGCTTCTGCCGGGCGCTGTCCCCAAGCAAGGCGCCCTCGGACGTGGCAGGGGGCCCAGAGGCGGCGGC